TTGGGAAAGGTGGGGGGGAAAAGAGTGCAACCATAAATTCTATTTTTGGTGATATGAAGGTAGTGACAAATGCATTTGAACCTGCCACGACTTCTGTTAAAGAGGTTTCTGGAACTATAGATGGAATCATGATCAGAATCCTCGACACACCTGGTCTCAAGTCCCATATGAAGGAGCAAGCTTACAACAGAAAGATATTGTCATCTGTAAAGAGGTACATGAAAAAGTTTCCTCCCGATGTCATTCTCTATGTTGATCGAGTAGATGCCCAAACCAGAGATCTAAATGATTTACCAATATTAAAGTCGATCACAAGTTCTCTTAGTCCCTCAATATGGCAACATGCAATTCTTACTCTTACACATGCTGCTTCTGTTCCTTCGGATGGACCATCTGGGTCCCCTTTGAGCTATGAAGTATTTGTTGCTCAAAAATCCTATCTTGTTCAACAATCAATCACTCAAGCAGTACGTGATCTGTGTCAATTGAGTCCAAATTTCATGTTTCCAGTGGCCCTTGTCGAAAACCATCCACTGTGTGGAAAGAATAAGTCTGGTGACTGTGTGCTTTCCAATGGACTTAGATGGAGAAGCCAATTATTAGCTTTGTGTTCCTCTCTGAAGATCCTATCTGACTTGTCTACTGTTTCAGGACCTCAAACTCTTTTTGATCATTGGAAGCATTTTTTCTTCCAGGACCATTCCCAGCCTCTGTACCACGTATTCTCTTCATTGTTGCAGTCTTCTGCTCATCTAAAATTTTCTGCTAATTGGAATTGACTTGGATGTTCACTTAACAAATGATTTTAGTGAAAATGAGAAATATGATAGCTGGATTCACGTCTCAGCTCTTTTTGATGTCAATTCTCGATTGTCATGGCTGGAACAATAATAATTCTATTCGTAGTAGCTTTATTGCTGATTTTCCTGTTCAAGCCATCAATACCAAAAGAGAGTTAAAATTTCCTCTTAGATTTTATCGTTATAAACCATAAATTGCAATTAGCTTTTTCTTCATGTTTAACCATTGAAAGTAAGTGGATTGCTAGCAACATTATATCTAATATATTTCTCTTACTATATTCATTTTTATTGGTTACAATTTATTAAAAATCACAAAATTAGGTGGGAAAGTTATTAAATTAACTGTGAAATTCACCAAAATTTGTATATTTTCAATAAATTTTAATCAATAAAAAAGTGTGTTTAAAAGAGTGATATATAGTGTGTTGGAGGTAACATTTTTCTTGAAAGTAATGTTTTTTTAATAAATTTGGTCCCATTATTTTGCAGGTAGCATTTTAATCAATTTGATGTTATTATTTTTAAATAATTTAATTTAGTTTTCTAATTTTTTAAAATATTTAATATTATCTTTTTGTCTAAACTAACACTAATGACATTAATGAAATCAAATGAAAGAATAATATTAAATATCATTTGAAAATTAAAGAATCAAATTATGATCATTTTTATTTTTATTTTAAGTACTAAATTTGTTGTCATTTGTGATATTGTTAAGATAAGTAAAAGAAAATTTAAATTTATCCAAACAAAAAAAATTTAATAAATTTTTATTCAATTTAGTCATGTAATTTTCAAAAAATGTTTAATGTTACCCTTTCATTTAATTTTATTAGCATCATTAGTTTCAATTTGGATGGAAAGATGACTTTAACATATTTTAAAAATTAAAGATCAAATTAAATCTTTTAAAAATTTTGAGATTAAATTAAATTTTAAAAATAAATAGAAGAAGTAAAAATATAATTTAGCCTACGTAAATTAAGAAGAGTTTGACTTTGATAAATTTATTAAATATTTTATGCTATTAATTAAATAGAAATCATCCATTTTTAAAAAAATAATTTTAATGAAAACTAATATTCATACCACCTGTAATGATTCAATTAGATTCATGATTGAATGATAGTGTAAAAAATCTAAAATCTCAATATATTCTAATTAAATTCATTAGATGATTATTTGGGTTTCAAAATTAAAAAGTAGATATTTCTAAATATTTATTTTAATTATTCTGAGATATTGTAAATTTTTAGAGTTTTTAATTTTGGTATACTAGGATTTCTTGTTCTAATCACCTTTTTTCCTATTAACAATATATATTCGAACTTGAAATTCTACTTAAATAATCTAAGTTGAGCTTCGCTAATTCGATGACCTTCCACCTTTTTATTAAAGAGTAATGATATATGTATCGATAGAAAGTTAGATAAAACCTTGAGATATAAAAATTGTAAAAATTTATTGTTCAAGGTATATTTTTTTATTGAAATAGTTAGAAGTGATTAGATTAGTCATCTAGATTTGCAAGTGGACAATAATCATTATAATATGTTTTTTTTTTTTTAAGAGCTGAGGCTTAGCTCAATTCATTAACAATAAGAGAGAATATACAATTTGGGATGTATGCAAAATCCTTAAGATTAGCATAATATTTGGAGGTCTTTGCAAGATTGGCAACCACCAAATTAGCTGATTTATGGGTGAAACTTATATTAAAGTTGACGCAAGAATTAATCTTATTTCTACAATGGTTCATAATGTCACTAAATTCAGTTCTATCCTTCAAGTTGGGATGAAGGAAAAAACTTTCAATTCTGCTGCTACTAGACTTGAAGAGGATGGGCATATATTGATTTTTCGAAGCCAAAATGATGGCTTGCATGAGAGCAATAACATCTCTAATACTGGCAGGAGGAAGACCAGGGATCCTGAGAGTGCGTGCACCCACAAAGGAACCCAAGTTGTCTCTAATGTAGAAACCAATTCCGAATGTATTCTCATCAAGGTTAGGGAATGTGGCAAAATTGCACTTGTATGAACCATGGGGTGGGGGAGACCATTGGGTAGTCGAGGTGGGACCAGGAATACCTCTAGCATCAAGAGGCCGCTGGTTAGCCAAAGTCCAATTTTGTCTAGCGTCGCTGGTTATTTTAATTATGCTTATTGTTATTAATTTATTTATTTTGATCTATTATAGAGCTTTACTAAAATATGCTATAAAAATTATTTTAATCCTCCCCCCAAAAAAAAATTCTCAAGTGATAGATTGTATGAATTTGAGTTAGTTACTCGGTAAACTGAAAAATAATATGAAAGTAAAAATGTTTAAATTAAGAAACAAGATATTGAGAAATTATTTTTAAAAGAGTTTTAATATGTATCTACCAAATTTATCAACATCGAATTTTCTTGGAATTTTTATTAACTATTTTTATTGTGAATCTTTTTTTTTCTACTACTTTTTTTATACCTATAAAATTTAAATTTACACTTTTTTTAAACAAAGTCATTTTTACTCGAATCAAAGATTTAATAAATTATAAGATGTTAAAATTTTAATAAATTAATTTTTATACGGGACACTCTTGTTTAGTTAAATAATATAAGTCTCTCGCTACTCTTACAATCCAAATTAGTTAATGATAATTAATTTAATAATGTATACTTTTATTTACTTTCTTTACAAATAAAATCATTATAAAATAATTTTTTATTGAAATACAAAATTGCAAAAGAAAAAATGTATTAATCTTGTTTTAATCCCACTTTTCTAAGATATTTTATAAATTTAATTAGAATATATTAATTGTATAAATATTATTTTCTAATTATATTAAAAATATTGAATTTTAAAATACTTGTTATAAAAGACAATTTAAAGTGATCTCTAATCAGTTAAAAGGGTAAAATTATTTACATTAACAACATATTAAAATTATACCTTATATTTATATAAAAAAATTATTGTGAAATTAGTTCATAAAAAATAATTAAATTATGTATACACCAATTTTGAGAGAATAAATTATCTAGTCTTTTGAGAAGTAATTGTTGTTGGCGAAAAGACGAACGCAAGTAAGAAATGGTGGTGAGGGAGGCTTGGCTTAGGTTGAAGTTATCCGATTGAATGTCTTCGTTTTTCCCTCGCCCAGTCTACCATTTCCATCATGTCGCTTCTCAAATCTCTCACTTCCAATTCCTCTGCTTTCAACTTCAAACCATCGCAATCCACCATTGCGCAAACCTCTCCTTACAGGGTCCGTACGCTTTATACTAACTACTGCTTCGTCTTCAACCAGTGTTTTTTACTTCACTCTCTATTTTTTTTTCTTACACTGCGACACACTTAATGAAGCACACAATTAAATTTGAGCTTCTACTTTGTCTTGTGGTTGTGAAAGTTTTGTAGCGTTTTACCTCTGTAATGAAATTGTTCACGCATTGGATGTATAGGGTGGCCTTTTATCCTTTTTGCTTGAGATACACGATGTGCTCGATGAATTGTCTAAGCGAAAATTGAAATGGAAAGTGAAGTGTTCGCAAAATTTCTCACTTCAAACTTTAAGTTCACCGGAAAAATATGGAATATCCTGTGTGCCTAGCAATCTTGTTTTTGATTGTAGAAGTTAAAACCAACTCATTCTTTGTATCTGATGGTTTGGTGGTTTTTTCTCTCTTTCTGTCTCATCTATAGAAACCTGTAATACAACGGTATTGTCCTCCTGCATGTTGTTGACATGTTTTTTGACATTCTCAGGTGCTGTTACGGACAGCATGTTCCTCCTCCAGGAGAACTAACTCTATTGACTTATTTTATTCCCGGGGAATCTCATCAGTTAAAGTGGTATCTTTCTCAAACATATCAAATTACTGTACTTATTCAAGGGACAATGTTTGTTCTTCAAAGCGAAGATCACGAGGACCAGTGATGGCAGGAAAGAAAGCTTCTGAAGGTAGTCGTCTATTTTCTATCTCGCATTGCTTTGTACTCCTTTGTCTAATATATTGCTGTTTGTCCTGTTAATTACACTAGGAATCAAGCAAGAAGATGGCAAATACAAGCACACTGTTGATCTTCCCAAGACAACATTTGGTATGAGAGCTAATTCTTCAGTAAGGGAGCCTGAAATTCAGAAAATTTGGGAGGAGAATCAAGTATTCAAAAAAGTTGTTGAGAAAAACAGTGGAGTGAGTTTTGGAATTTCATCTCAGCTTTTTTTCTTCCTAGTTATATGAACTTATTAACCTACTTTAAATTACTTGATCAGGGAAATTTTATTCTTCATGATGGTCCTCCATATGCCAATGGTGATCTTCACATAGGGCATGCCTTAAATAAAATTTTGAAGGATATAATAAATCGTTATAAGGTATATTTTATTGCTATCCTAATATAACATTTGAAGCATATTTTATTTTAATTATATTAGACACATGCAACTATATATTTTGTATGCTAAATTGCTGATAAAATTTAAAGTAAGCACAGATATTTTGATAATATTTTTATTTGCTTTGTTTGTGTGCAGGTCCTTCAAAACTATAAAGTTAATTTTATTCCTGGATGGGATTGTCATGGCCTACCGATTGAGTTAAAAGGCAAGTGTTAATGTTTTGAATTCATGAAATGTCTTGTTTCTTATTTGTCATTTTGAATGATTTTCTATTATTTTTTTTTATCAATAAATACATTTTGGAGTAGTTACAGATGTCAATAAAATGTACAGGCTATTAAAGCAAACTCTTTTTGTCATAAAAAGTACATTTTTGCACTAATTGATTTCTTACATGTATATTTTTAAGTAGTTCAAATTTTTAGGTTGAGAAAATTTTCCTCTCCTTTTTGGTCCTTGTGTTTTATTTTGGAAATAAGGGCAATTTTGTTCTGGCTTTTAGTCATGCAGGCAGCAGCAAGCCATTTAATATCTATATTGTAAATGTATTTTGGTGAAGTCTTATGCCATATGGTGTAAAGGAGGGAACTGGGAAGTAGAGAACGATATTGTTGGTATGTTACTCAAGCGTCATAGTTTATTCTATATGTCCTGAGCTTTGCC